CTCTCTCTCAACCATGACAACCAATTTCCTTCCTTGCCACCATACTTTTCTAGAAGTACCCTAGACCATAAACCCTTCTCTCCCTCTACTACTAGCCTCGACCACCATTTGCCAAGCAATGCCATATTAAACCATCTCAAATTTTTTACCCCCAAGCCTCCCTCTTTTTTACTATAGCATACCCTATCCCAAGACACCCATGCAATCTTTCTACCTTCCTTAGCCCCTCCCCACAAGAAATTCCTTCTAATTTTGTCAAGTTCATAGATTACCTGTTTAGGGAGAAGATAGAATGACATCAGGAACACTGGTAGACTGGATAGCATAGAGTTTATGAGGGTGATTCTTCCACCAAGAGACAAGAATCTTCCTTTCCAGGCTGAGAGTTTTCTCCTAAATGTCTCGATTAGAGGTTTCCATGTGACTAGTCTCCTTGGGTTTGCACCCAGTGGCACCCCCAAGTATTTGCAGGGGAGGACATCAGTTTTACAGCTTAGCAACCATGCCATTTTTTCAATCCATTCATCATCAGTGTTGATTCCAATTAAAGAGCTCTTTCTATAATTTACCTTCAGGCCTGACACCAATTCAAAAGCTCTCATAATACATTTGACTGTCCAGATGTTGTTTTCAGTTGCCTCACCCATAAATAGTGTGTCATCTGCAAACTGTAGATGGCTAATTTCAAGCTCCCCTTCTCCTATTTTTGCTCCACAAAAAAAGCCCTTTGAGACTGCTACTGATATACTATAGCTGTGACACGGACCCCCATGCCCATGGGTGAATCGACCGCCCATTAACCTTTTCCAGCTTTTAGGTTTAGCTATATGAATTAAACTGAAACCAAGGGCGACGGAACCTGGCATTTCTATTTGGGGACTGGAGACTGGGACAAAATAATTATCATGCTCTTTATAGCATTAAATGCTAAAAATACTAATTGTAATAAAAATCAATACCTTTATACCCAAAAATAAAAATCAATACCAATTAACCTTTTCTAATTGATACATGCATTCTGATTAAAGATTCAATACAAATCATAAACTGAAAACAATAATGATAATAAATTTATTGTAAAGTTTAAATATACAACCTACTAGACATGATTTTTTTTTTTTTTTTTTTAGTTTATAGTTAGATTGCTTCTAAATCAGTTTTTACATATCTTAAAATTAATTTTCCTTTTGACGATTTTAAAGATGCACCCCCATATCAGTCTAGTATATTCTAAAAAATTAATTCTTTTAAATGATAATTCTAACATTTGAACCCTAAATTTGAATTATAAAACACCACTTTATCTATGGACCAACCTTTGGGTTACCTACCAGACATAATTGAAATCTTTGGATTTATGTATATACTAACCGAATCTAATGAAAGAATTAATTGAGATTTATATATGGCCCAAAAAAATTTTGAGATTCATAATATAAATCTTATCACAGCTAAGTTGACATTTTTTTCTTTTTGTTTATTATTATTATTATTATTATTTTTAATCTTGAGATATACACTAAAAGATGACACTCTCTCATCTCTTAACTCACCTCATTTGTATATCATATCACTCGAACTCAAAATCTTTTACTTTTAGTGAAAATAAATTATTACTAAATTATTTAACTTGTTGATTTTTCTTTCTAATTTTAAATTATACAATGAGAAGTAATTATCTTTTATTCCTATTCCTACATCAATGTTATGCAAACTGAAAAGACTTTATTGTAGCATTTGTACTTCATGTGCTCTCTCCTTTTATCTCTTCTTGTTTCAAAAGATTTTAATGTAGAAAATGCTGATGTAAGTACATCCTTCTCTGACTGTTCTTTGTAAGTCCTCCTGGGAGGATGGAATTTTGTAAGGTTTTGAAATATTGCAAAAGCTGAAGATCTATTAGGGAACTGAGCTACATCTTTGCATTAAGATAGGTTCTCTTATGTGACTTTGTTTTCTAGCTTAATAAGGTACTCTTATCTTATCATTTTCGAACTTCCTCAGGTTTCTTCTTCCGACGTCACTTATTGTCATTAATGACATTTTTGCTTATATCTTTGGTTTCTTCTTTGGAAGAACCCCGCTTATCAAATTATTCCCAAAGAAAACTTGGGAGGGTTTCATTGAGCATCTGTTACAACAATCATCTCTGCGTTTGTGGTGACGAAAATTTTCTTCAATTTTGAGGGTGAGGGTTTCAATTTTGTGGCGAGAAGCATTGACCGGTTGGAAGCAGAGTGCCCAGCAGAGAGCCCAGCAGAGAGCCCAGAAGAGCACCGAGCACACCACCCACACAACCATCACAAGGCAGCGACAAGGCAGCCTGAATATCGATCAACGCATGTATATGCATGCGCTTGATGATCGTTTAAGGTTGCAACCAAAACCACCATTGCAAGAACAAGAAGATACCTTGAGAAAGCCAGCATATGGATGGAAGGATGTTTCAGATTATTTTTCTACAGTAGCAATATTGGTAGTACGTACTGTGAATCGCTTCAGTGGAAGGTGAGGTGCCTTGGTGTGATTTGATGATGTCTATTTATAAGGATGTTTGTGGGATATTAAATCTCCAACTTGAGCTACTATTTCCATTTCAAATCTCACAGTTGATGTACTATCGTCGTGTTGTGGATTCCCATTGGCTAGATTATTGCCACTTGCTATGATATTAGTTATTCCTCGTAGATACATAGCTTTGTTAATCTCGAGATCAGTTGTCCTGATTAAGTTCCAAGTGTCTTCTTTTAGTACGAGGTCGGTTCTAACATGGGAAGTTGGCATGCGTACCTTTTTTTTTTTACAGCAAAAAATATATTTATTAAAAAATGGAGTACAAGGGTACCCCAAACCCATAACAATACTGTTTGAGAAGCCCACAATTACGAGTGAAATAGCAAGGTGTCGACACCCACTTTAAGTGTCGACACTATACCCGTAACGAAAATCAGTCCTCCTTTGCATTATCACGAACAACACAAAAACCCAGCCTCTAAATGTTAATTCCATCTTTCAGATTATTCCTCCCTAGCTTTTACCACCACAATTCACAGTGAGGCATGCAATAGGATTGCTTAACCAATCCGAATGAGTAAAGTAACACCAGGCATTTTTTGCTTTAAACCATAAGAACGATCGAATTTGAACCAGATCGAGTAGCTTACCCGAGTCCATCTCTTGGTTTTGGAAAATCCTTCGATTGCGCATCAACCATATGGACCATACTATTGCACTCCATGTACAATCCCACCCTTTTCTGACCCTCGTGTTTTTAGTCCACGCCCCAGGATGTTCGAAAGTCTTCCAGCAGTCCTCTTGTATCTCTATGTTGATTCCCCACAACCTCGCACACTCCTTCCATATCCATCTTACATTTTTGCATTTCAGGAACAAATGGGTTTCATCTTCTTCCTCTTCTTGGCACAGGTTGCAATTGCCATCACCCATGATTACGCCCAATCCTCTTTTCAGCAAGTTTGATTTGGTTGGAAGTCTATTGAGCAGCAGTTGCCAGTTGAAAGCAGAGATCTTGCTTGGTAGGTTGGGGTTCCATACCCTCCTGAATACTTTTTCTTGAGTTAGACTCCTCGGCACCTTTGTCAAGAGTGAATACGCTGTTTTGGATGAGTAACGGGATTCCTTGCTGTGCATCCACTCCCATTCATCAAGTCGGCCAGGAGATATCTTCACACTCTCAATTAACGTACTGAGTTCTTTTGCAGCCTCTTCTTCCCTTTCTAGCAACTTCCTTCTCCAAGTGAGAATCCATTTCCACGATCCATTACACATAGTTCCCATTTGGCAGCATTCTTTCTCCTTTCCTGCAGATAAGAGGTACAATCTCGGGAATTTGTTAGCTAGACAAAACTCCCCACACCACTCATCCCACCAAAAGCTTACATCCTTCCCTTCTCCTACCTTCAGTCTAAAGCTCTCTGTTAACCATCCAGAAATTTCCCCCTCTGCAGTATTAATCCTTCTGACATCTCTCCACCAAGAAGAACAAGCCCCTGCACCGTTCCTAACCCAGTCCATCCACTGCCCCCCACCCTCACTATATTTGCTTTCAATCACTTTCCTCCATAATCCATCCTCTTTAACTGCTAGCCTCCCCCACCATTTACCCATCAATGACAAGTTAAAGCACCCTAGGTCTCTCACA